GAAGAAGTATAAGGGAAAAAACTATATTAATATCTTTTTTACTTCGTTGTAAGAATAATTAAAGAACGTAGATACTTAGTACTAGAGAAAAGACTCTATTACTAAGAAACTCTATAACTTTATTTAGATAATTACTACGTCTCTTTTCCTTAAGATACTAACTACGTTCTACTAGAATTTATTAGCTATAGAGACTATATATAATATAAATTAATACGCGTTCTAAAGGAGAGATTTTCTTAATATATAGAGAATGCCTTTTTCTCTAAAGAGATTCTTTTCTCTAAAGTAAAGAAGATTCCTTATTACGAATTATTAGTACTTATATATACTCTCTACCTAATAAGAATAAAGTAGATAGGCTAGAAGATACTAGTATAAACGAATAGTAATACTATAACTAGAGTACTAGCTTTAATCTACTTTACCTAAAGGGTAGTCTTTTACTTTAAATATAGTACTCTACTACTACTTCTAAAATATAGAGCTTTCTAAAGCTTCTATACTTCTCTATAGACTTAGATAGTAGATATATTATTCTAAAGGAAGTCTTCGCTATAGACCTAGAGTCTAGTAATAGTATAGAGGCCTATATTAATAATATATACTACTTTTATAATTAGTTTAAATACTTCTATAGAACTATAAGTACTATAACTAGTTACGATACTATAGACTCTTATACGCCTACTATTACTACTAGTAGTACTAGTACTAGTACTATATCTACTTCTATTAAACCTAATCTAAGAAGATAATAGTCTAGAGTATAGGCTAGTTATATTCGCCTCTAGTAATAGTAGTAGTAATTATATAAAGGAATTTATTACCTTTTTAAATACTGTTTTGTCTTCTACTAAGAAAGAATAGCTTAAATCTAGATCGAAAGAGATAAACGACCTATTATAATAGGAAATATAGGATCTAGTAGACCTACTACCTAAAAGAACTTCTATTAAAGATAGATAGGTCTATAAGACTAAGAAAGAGTAATATCTTAGTATAGTTAAATATAAATTATAGACTATTCTAGAGACTTTTAAAAAACTACTACTAAGAAGCTATTATAATTTAGATTAGAAGGTTAACTTAATAACTTATAGATAAACTCTAGAGTAACTATTTATTCTAGAATAAAATTTCTTTAGAAGCTAGTCTAGTAATCTTTAGAATAAAATAGTACTACCTACCTAGAAATTAGAGTAAATAGCTCTAGAAGAAGCTATAAAAGAGGAGAAGTAGGTAAAAAGGCTAGATAAAGAGCTAGAGATTAAATAGATAGTAATATACTCTAGATAGACTATAGAGTACTAGAGTACTAGTATATAGCCTAGAGTACTACTCTAGAATAAAGTATATAAGTATATAGAACTATAATATTAGGAAAACTAAGATAATAAAGATAGATATCTCTAATATATAGATCTATAGAAGAGAATAGAGTAGATATACTAATAAAAAGATTAGATATTCTAACTACTAAGGGCCTAGTAGAGCTCTTATTATTAGCTAAAGATATTAGATAACTTAAAGTAAGATAACCTAAGTATAATTAATAAGCTATAGTATAAACTTAGAAGAACCTATTAGGTAGTAGCGGCCTAATCTAGATACTAGAGAGATATAAGAGAATAAAGAGACTACTATCTAGTAGTAGGACTATATATCTAGCTACTAGATAGTAATTAAAGAGTAATTCTAACTTCTCTATATCTCTAGAGTACTAAATAAAGCTAGTATAAATGAACGCCTTCTCTAGTAATAGTACTACCTAGACAAAGATATAGACCTTAGACTATACCTTAAGAGTATATTAGAATATAGGTAATATTCTAGAAGATCTAAGACAGATACCTAGAAAAGAATTCTATTACTAGACAGCCTAATTAAGTATCTAGTACTTATCTAGTAGTAGAGATATACTACTAGAGCCTAAAAGAGAAGCTAGAAGAATTATCTTACTAATACTTATAGGCGACCCTACTATAAAATATTAAACATCTTATTAGGTATCTCGTACATACCTAGAATAGCCTAGCTAAGAAAGTATAATTAAGCGTAGAGCGAGGAGTATTAGAAAGAATGGAATAAGGTAATAATTTAGCTATATTATAGTTTTCGAGAGTATAATAGAGTTTGTAAAGATGTCTAGAGGATAGGAACAGACCTCTTTCTCTCCTAAGTAGAAAAACAAATAGAAAGCTCTTTCTATATATAATTTACCTCCCTACTCTTTACTTACGTGCCTACCTTTCTACCTTCTATCCTAGCTACTAGCTACGATATTTCGCTAAAATACTAGATCTCTATAGTATTATGTATATTATATTGTCCCTACGAGCTCTATAGACTTTCTATAGCTAGCTATAGCACTTCTATTTAGTATTCGTAGGCTTTATACTACTATATACTATTCTATACTTAGTGATACTATAATGTACTACTAGTATATCGTACGTATAGGTATTTTCCTTACCTAGACTATCTAGATAGGAAGAGTAGGAATAGAGACATATCTCTATACGTGTAAAATAAAGTTTAGTAAGATATCTAGAGATTCGGAAGATGTCTAGAGCCCCGGTATATTAATAATAACTTTAATAGCGCTATAAATATATACTGTTCTTCTAGTACCTTATTCTTCTCCAGCCTTATAGGATCGCGTAATAGAGTTTTAAGAATGTTTAGAGACTACTAGAGTGTCTCTTATTATTCCTAAGTCGTTGTTTACTACATACTACTTAGAGTACAGAGCGTTTAATTAAGTATCTTAATGTATAGCTTATAGATATTCGAGAACTACCTATAAGTAATATCTACTTATATTATACTATACTAGCTTCTAGTATCTACTAGATAGTACCTTCCTCTTATAAGTACTCTAAAAAATTTATCTCTACTTGTACTTCTATAATAAGCGCTACTCTAGCTACTTAACTAACTAGACTTAAGAGGACCTATTAATTCTCTAGTAGAATAATAAAGCTATATATAGCGCGAGGTAAAATTTAAGTTAAGTAAACTTATTAATAGCTACGTTAAGGAAAGTATATATTATAGTAATAAAGATAAGTATAGTAATTCCCTATTTAGCTACAATTAAGTATTTTATTAGAGGAATTAGATTCTTATTATTTATCGCTACCTCTATATTAGAATTACCTATAGTCTCTATACTTAGTACTACTCTTAGTTATATAGTCTAAGTAGATAGAAAATAGCTATCTATATAACTAAGTAAAGATTATATTATATTAATAAAGAATAGATTAGTATACTCTCTACTAGTTAATATAAAGTAATCTTCTAAAAGGATTATATAATACTCTAGCTTAAGTGCTCTAGAGCTAGAAAGTATAGGACTAGTATTCTTATCTTTACTACTAAATTATATACGCCTCTATATATAGTTAGGTATATATAAGCCTTATTTATATACTACTCTATATCGTTTCTAACTATACGTCTAACTAGTATTACTAGTACGCCTAGTAGATTTACTCTAGGCTGCTTCCCTAAGGTACTTAGCCTTCCTTACACTTAGATAACGTACACTTAGATAACGTCTAGAATTGCTTGGAGACGTACTAGTAATACTAGTTAGACGTGTAGTCAGAAACGATATCTTCTATAGTACTTCTATTTTAGTCTAAGAGTAGTAGTTTCTTTAAATTCCGTAGTCTATATATAAGAATTAGCCTATATACTAGTATCGCTCTCCTACTATATCTTAGTATTCTCTATTCTACTCTAATAAGTATAGCCTATAAAATAGCTCTAAAGACCCTATACGTATACCGAGCCTATAACCTAAGAAAGTAGTAGACTAGATAAGAGGTATAGACGCTTATAAATTACGTTCTATTATAACTTAGAGGCCTATAGACAGTCCAATTCTCTAGATATAAGCAAAGTAGTATCTAGGGCTATCTAGAAACGCTATTAGCTACGAACTAACTAGGAAAACTCTAAAGTATACGCTTTCTATATACTAAATACTCTAAAAGATCTATTATAATATCTTCTACTATATATATCTAGCTACATAAGTCGTATTAGAGCTATATTTATAAAGTAAATATTATAATAGGATTTACTAGTATATCTAGAGACTAATAAGTTTACTTATAGTAAATCGAACTAGATTATCTTACTACTCTCTAGGCCTTTAGAGATATATAAAAAAGTTACTCTAATAAGCACTTAATATATCTTTACTATACTTTAGATTACTACTATCTCTAGACTTATAGTTAAAGCTCTAAATAGTATTAATTACGAATTCTAAAAGCTCTATATTAACGAAAGAAGTAACCTATATACCTAGTATTATTAAAGTATAGGGTATATTCTAAAGGAACTAAAATAGATACTAAGGTAGGAATTACTCTACTAGACAGCCTAATTAGGTATCTAGTACTTATCTAGTAGTTATACTCTATAAGAAGCTAGGGGAATCACTCTACTAATACTTAGAGCCGATCTAGCTATTAGATACCTTATTAGGTATCTAGTACCTACCTAGGAGAACCTAGCTAAAAGTCTACGATTAGATAATAAGGTAGAATAATCGAATACATATATTGAACATATTACAAATACGCTATATTCTAACTTATAAGCGTATAATAGAGTTTATAAGAATGTCTAGAGAATGTATAGAGACTTTTTTGTTTATAGAGAAGGAAGAAAGATAAGTAACTTCTTCTATATTTAGTCTGCCTACCTACTCTTTCTATATCTAATCTACTTACCTAGTCTTTCTATTCTACTACTCTAAGTTATCTGTACCTATGTCTAAAGTCCCTTCGAATTAGCTAAGAGTCTAGTTATATCTTATATAACTAATTTAATCTATTAAAAAGTATTCCTAATATTAAGCGCTATAAAATAAAAAGAGAGGGCAGTTAGGTAAAGAGGAGCCTATCGAGTTAGGCTAAGACACGATAGATGCTATTATTACCGATTAAACCCTAGACTCTAGAAGGAAGAAGAGGAAATTACTGCGCTAGCTTATCCCAGTGCGGACACTCCGTAAACGCTGCTAAAGCAGCCCTCGACTTCTCTAGGCGCGCTTGCAGCAACGTCTTCTCCTTGTTATTAGCAGCGGCATCGACAGCCGCAACGTCGGCCTCTACGGCCTTCTGCGCGAGATCGCGCACCCTTGAGCCTAAAGAGGGTCTTGGCTTCGTCTTCTTCTTCGGCGGCATCGCGCCCGCTTCATCGTACAAGGGTCTTTTTTCGCCTCGAGGGCGAAGGCCGCCCAAACTTTCGTCTTCCTCCGCTTCTTCACTTCCATGCCACGAGGGCGCAGCCGGAGACGGAGTACGGCGAAATTGCTGCGATAGCGACTCCGCGCCGCTTTCTCCACCGAAAACAGGATTATCGTCCATCATTTGGGGAGGGGAAGGCTGGTCTTGGCCGGCGGTATCCGGGGCTCGCCCGTGCTGACTTGACCGACTCTCTGGCCGATAATCGTCGTCTTGAGCCGCAGCTGTGGCAGCAGAGCCCACAGTGTTTCCACCGGGCGGGATGCTGCCGCCGCCATCGTGGGTCGGCAGGGAGGGCCCCAAGCCCTGCTCTGGCTGCTGCTGCTGCTGCTGGTGTTGTTGCTGTTGCTGCTGCTGGTGTTGTTGCTGTTGCTGTTGTTGTTGTGGCTGCTGCTGCTGCTGCGGCGGCGGCGCGACACCCATCTCGCGGTTGTACACTGCGATTACATCTCTGGGTAAGATATACTTTTTATTGCTTTGAGTAAATGTAAAGCGAACGTTTGCTTCTGCGGCCAATGCGAGCGCTAATCGGGGCCAATGAGCCGGGCCAGGGCGGAGAGCAGAGAGAGAGCCAAGCTTTTCAAGCAAAGGGTGCGAGAAATAGGGAGGGGAGCGTTGGTCAGGGAGAATCCACAACCAGCCAGGCCAGTTGCGCTCCACACGAGCAACGAGACGATTGAAGCGCACGAAGCGCCAGTCGGAGTCGGCGAGAGCAGATTGAAGGGCATAGGCACCGGTAAACGCGAGAATGAAGGTTTGTGCCTGTATATTACGAATTAGTATATCGCATTTCAGACCCTGTATTCCAGCGCGATGCTTCAAATGCGTGCGTCCTCCAATGTTATTTCATTATGGCTGAACATTTCCTCCGTGCTAATAAACAGATAGAGTGTGGGTTTCCAGGCTCTTGTATCCTGCCCGAATAACCCGCCTGAAGAATACGCCAGGACTTCCAAACTCTCTTCTGATCCCAACATGGCGGCATTATGGAGGAGGAGACACTTACAGTCTGCGGAGAATGGAGCAACAACCATTGCCAATAGGCGCGAATGTCCCACAACTTGCCCTCATGGGCGGGAAGCTCTCTCTCCAGCCAAGCAAGACAGTGTCCAACGCGCGTCTCGGGCGGGAAAGACTCCAAACGGGAGAAGACAAGATTGCGACGAAATTCCGGCTCCAGTAAAGCGAATGTCATTGTGGTGGGAGAGGGCTGCGAGTTCGTTGCTTGACTGTCGGCGCAATCGTACACTCGATGAACGAAAGCGTGCTAAGGGAAGTGTGGAGAGGCTTGCGGTCGCTTACGACTGCCAGCGGAATCCAAATCGGCGCAGCACTCCCGGCATCCTGCACAGCCTCTCCGCTCGTCTCTGTTGCCATTACTTGCTAGAAAGTACCACAGATGCGATGGCACTTCCCTCCGTTAGCAGTTTAACAAATGTGGCTTCCTCCTTTCTTATTGAATTTGCCTGCTGGGCTCCTCCATTAGTATTAATCAATTCTTCTAACCCGATTGCAGATCGCACTAGACTGCTTTTAAGGAATAGTCCTCTTACTTCGTCTATCGATGTGACGTGATTGGGAAACAGTCTCGCAATGCTGTTCCTGGCTCGTGGGGACGCTCGACATCACTAGTACCATACCTGACTTTCTTCGCTCCGCCATTTAGCAAGGTTTCTGCGCTTTCAGCATCGGAAACTCGTATAATGACTCCACGCCTCTCCTTGCCTTTTGGAAACCGCTGCCTTCTCATTTTCCATTCGTGGAGAAGACTCCCTGAGTCCTTCTCCCTTCCGAGTCTTGCTTCTGGCAAGCTGCTCTCGTTCATTTATGTCTTGCAGCATCCCAGCTTCCTCCGAGAATGCGTCTCACCTTATCCATGACCCGCTGCAGCTCCGCATCCATATGCATGATTATCGCCCCCATGCTCTCCGTGCGCCTCGCCCACGTTTTGTCCTTGTAGACACCCCAGCCTCCGCTCTTCGAGGATCGGTCGATCACGCTGCGCCTTGCGCAAATTGTCGATCGCCTGTTTGCGCCGGCGACAATTCTTCCCCAAGCTCCTTTCGAGCTGCTGACAGCGCCGCTGGATTTCCGCGAAGGAGGCCGAAGGTGATAGTCTTGCTGTGCGGGACAACGATGGAGGAAGCGAGGAATTGGGAGACGGTGTCGAAGTCGCTGCAAACCGTTACGCCAGCACTGATCTCATCATCTCTACCGGTTTCAATCACACGAGCGTGAGGGTGTCGCCGATGCTGGGTATTGCGATCGCGCGGCTTGAAGTTGCGCCAGGTCTGAGATCTGTCGGTCAGTTCTGAGGATGAGATTGTGAGACAGTCTTTGCACGTAAACAGTGTAAGGAGAAACTGCAGCCGCCGCTCGACGTCAAGTGGAGGAGGGGACCCCGAAGCTGCTAAAGTGCTGGAATGGTAGGCGCGGATGACATAAGGTCAAAGCAGAGTGGCTTCCCTGACGGGCCGGTCCACTCACTTCGCCCAGACTGACAATACATCGGAACGATGCTAATGCTCCCTCGCATGCAGCATAAATATTAACCAACGAAGAGCAGAACGGAAATGCTATGCTTCTCTCTGGCAGTGCGCTGCAGCGCGACATGTCCCTCGAAACATTAAGAACGCCAATACCATTCGATTGCTGGCTTGTGTAGGGTAAGGAGAAAGGAGCTTGAAACCTATGACCACTCCACTCGGTAGCTTTTTGTTGAGTCGTGGGAGAAGCTCTCTGTATACTCTCTCCATACGCCATTCCGAAGGGTGAAGACATCCTGCGAAGCGGAGGTTCCGTAAGACGTTGGTATGACCAACGTTCCGCGGATCTGGCAGAAGGAGGACGACGACCGGCTTTTCGGAGTTGCGATACTGTACGGAGATGAGAGCAAGAAAGACCAGTAGATCATGCCAGAAAAAGCCTGCCTTCTCAGTGTGTTGCGATCTAGTCTCTTCGGCTTTCCTAAGATCCCTTAATGTCTCCTTTACCGGTTGTTACTCTAAGTACCCCGCTTCCCCGGCATTGTATGTACGTTCACGAATGCCACGCAAAGTACTCCCCAGTGCGATGGAATGTTTTGAGTGTTCTGCTTCCATGTCGCGCCACAAACTCTAAGGTGCCGGGTGAAAAATGGAAAAGAAAAGGCAAGTAGATTATCGTTATGCAAGCCATCCGATTTCGATCATCCTCAAAAGTCATCCAGAAGAAGATCGCCCTCCTAGGTACCTACGACCCCACTACAGAACATCGGATTTTCCCAGTCTTCGCTGATCGTGAACTTATCGGACAAATCGTTGGTCTGAGGAACTTTATCTCCCTTACACGTGTCTTGCGGTTGAACAGATCTCAGAAGTGTAAGAACAATATCTGCTCGCGCTTATCAACGCTAAAACACTCACCGGGCTTTCAGAGAAGCGCGACGGAGCACTGGAGGACCTGAACAATGCTGGCATTTGTGTTATAGGCATGGAGGAGGATCTTGCAGATGTGGTTGTCTGGCTCGTGGCCTTTGCGTAGTCCAAATCGCTTGACCGTGAACGAACCATACTGCTATATGGAGTCGAAAGTACGGAGTACACGGAGCACCACAGAGAATTGGAAGCAAGAGGGATTCGGGGGAGTGAAAGCGTTAGCCGACGGAAACGCAATCCAGTTAGAGAAGGAGGATATCCGGTGGAGGAAAAGACGGAAAACGAACATCTCCCCTTCACTTAGTGATGGCGAAAACCGCTCGCTCTGCAGTGACTCGACCTCTGATGCCAGATTGCAGAGTTTTTGTTGAAAATGGAAAGCTGCGATAGCATGCAGAAGCGGCGACCAGGGGATGCGGAGACCGACATTCGGAGAAATTGAAGTGGCTGGAAGATGCTCGAGCCTAGCACGCGCAGCTAGGAGGCGGTACGATACTCCCAGAGTGAGAGTGATACACTGAAAGATGTCCTGGATGCATACGGACGGTAACCACCAAAGAACAGCCCCGGTCGCACGCATGCAAGAACAGCGCAGTGATGGGTCCCGGGTACGTGCGCATGCCTAGAGCGACGTAGACTGTTGACTCAAGAGATGTCCATCTTAATAAAGCGGAGAGGAGCCAAGGCAGTTGTATCAGCACCGTAGACAGCCGAGACTCCCGGTGAAGTTAGGACAGAGTTCGAACGAGTGGTCGAAAACCTGCCATTATCAGCGAAGCAGGAGAAAAGACAGTCTTATCGACCATCTGGAGATGCGACAGGACCAATGGCACAGTGCGAGTCAGTCGACAGACGGCCCCAAACAAAGGCAATGCAGGATACTGCACCAATCGGCTAGTCCTCGCAAGGATCTGAGGGGCTTCATACCGCGCATGCGACTCTTCTACTGGGCAGATTGGGCGAGAGTCGAGATGTTACTAAATGCCTATGGGATGGCGTGAGGTCTCGCATTCCGTACATACGATCCAGGTGCCACGTCGTGCGAACTCACGACAGAAGCTTGAACCGCATCACCCGCACGTAGGCACTGCAATTCGCGGTACCTAACACCGCTCGGAAGATGCCATGGACCAGCAGGCTTGATCTGTCTCCGTGCCATCTTGGTGGGTTGCACAGCTCCTGTCTTAGCGTATCTCGGGCTGCAACTGGTGCAGGTTGCAAGTTTTTGCGCGTCGCATGCGTTCTGCCCGCATCTTTGTTTGTATTCGGACCGTATGTAGCGAGTAATTGCATTTGACAGACACAACCGTGTTGAAGCATCAGCGTCCAGGCATGGCAGACAGGGCTTGCCGACAAGCCAATGCATTAACGAGACCACGGCGCGATCGAACAGTCAGTTCTCTGCCGTCATCTTCAGCGGTACCCAGAAAGCACGAGTCGTGGTAGAATGGGTTTCGGGACGGCTGTCCGTTCCGCGGACGTGATACGATAGTGGACTACGAATATCAGCATGCCGGAGTTTGCGAGGAATCGGATCCTGTGTATCCAGGCCCCAGTCTCGGCACGGAATTGTCTATATCACGACTCGAGGCTGCCATATCCAAGTTAAAGCAGAGAAAGCATCCGCAATTCGTCGCGCGTATCCTTATCTTGAGCTCTTTTCTGCACGCTCTTTCACTTATTGCCATCGATGCCGCGGCGCCTCATCCCAGCTGACGGAGCCGCGCTGCGCTCGCGCTGTACCTTTCCCACCCCTATCCTCGATCCGCCGCGGTGTGGGAGTCTTCTTCCGCCCTCGCATTAGCACCTGGTTCGCATCGAGGCGAGTAATTCCCGGCTGGCATGCGCTGCAGAGCTTGCACTGGTATGCCGTAAGCCATTCTGTGCTCATCTTGCGCGCCGCAATAACGAGGCGATCGGGAACTCGAACGAGCTGGAAAGGGCATCGCGAGAGATTGAAGGCGTCTTGAAGCGCGTCGTGAGGTATTCGCTCGCTTCAGGACGGCGTACGAGGGCGCGTGCGCGTACGTGTGCGAGAGGACTGCGACATAAGAGGGGAATGAAAATGGACATGGTGGTATGGCAGGCGTCGGGTAATGCGTGGAGCTTTTCTCATGGCGACCAGCTGCAGACGTATACGTGGTGAATGTTGGCGGCGGTGGATGCTGGCGGCGGTGGATGCTGGCGGCGGTGGAGGAGTGGAAGTCGGATGCAATGCGCGGGCGTTAAAGAGATCGGGGAGAAACGCACATGATGGTACCCGCCATGCCGAAGGCTTACGTATCCCTCTTAGCCGAGATCCGAGGGTTCCTGCTTTCCCCGTTTCACGAATGCCGCACGAGTTATATGTTCTCGACGTTTTCTGTAGCTCGAATCGCAATGAATTGCGAATTATCAACAATGCATCACACGCTCGCGAAAGATCCGACTGCATGAACAGTCCGCTGCAGTGTACTCATCGAATGTATAATGCACTTCAAAGCGACCGTCCGCATCAGTGAGCGTATTAGAGTCCCAGACCAAGAGTATTTGAAGCCGCTGCAACGGCATAAGGTCTGCCCGAAGCGCCTGCCTCAAGACGGACCGGCTCGTGAGTCGTCGTAAGTCTGCATTGCGACTCTTGCCTCTAGACTCACTGCGTTTCTCGGACCTCCGAGCTAGTCATAATGGTGTGGTCATGAGCGCCCGAGCTAGGAATGGCCGTTCAGCAGCGTTCTCCAGAGAGGATCTGTTCGTCCATTCTCTCTTGAATTTCAACTCCCGTATCCAGAGACTCCCTTGTTGTAACACTACAAAGCTCTCGCCAGCGCCGAGAACCTGGCCTCCGCGTCTCCGACCTCAGCGAAGGCCAAGATGGCGGCTAAACACCGCCGCAGACGTATCCATATCTCACGCCAGAGCCAGTGGCATTGAAATACCGGAACCAAATCGGGGCAGCAATTCTGACCAAAGGACTGGAAGAGAACCGAAGAGACGAGGCGTGGCTCTTCCTGAGACTTTCCACCCATCTCGCAACGTTGACAGCAACCAGCTGAACTCGCTTCATCGGCTCGATGCCGCTTCTCGGCGCTGGGGGCCTGCGGCTCTGCTGCGACTGGGTCCATGTGACCATGTCAAGTCCCATTGACCAGCCTCAGCACCGCAATCCTGCCACTGCTCAGTTTAACAAAACCTAATGTCCCTAGTCGTTCAACCCCATGGATCAACTACGATAGCCCAGAGCTGCGATGTCTTGGTCGGTCTCAAACAGCGCCAGGTTGACTTGGCAATCCAGTCCGGCCACCACCCCGTCCAGCGGGACGGGTACTCCTTAGCGAACTCAGCATTGCCATGCTTCGGACTGCCACTGTGTGTCTCGAATACCGCCAGCTTGCCTTGACACTCCACCCATGCCGCTGCTGGGAAAATGGGATGCGTGCTTCGAAACAATGCCGCCTCGCCCCTTCTTCGCTAGAGTCCGGCTTTCCTGTGCCTCCGTCGACCTCGAACGATACCAGATTACCTCAACAGATCAAGTCTGCGTCTCGACTGCACCGCTAGGGCTTGACAATGTACTTGCCGCTCTCACTAACGCTAGCTTGCGTTGGTGCTCCACTACTTGGAAATATTCACCGAGCGTTTTCCAGACTCCCCGAAACTGAACTCCCGCCCAGTCTGCAATCGGCGCCCACGAGCAACTTGGCTTCAGGTATATCAACCGGTACTAGCTCTGAGAACTTCGAGGAGCACTCGTGACCGTTTGTCTGCGTTCACAAGGGCGGAGGAGATCCAAGCGCAGCGCAGATGCTGCGGTGTCCAGGCGTAGCAATGTACTATTGACGTACGTAGGCTAAATCGTCCAGCGTGTGGCATATGGAGCAGCGGCTTTCAGACGTTGTGCAGTCGATATTGGTGGTGGTGGTAACGTTGACGGTAAGCAGAATTGGACTCGGTCGCTAGCGCAGATCTGGACCGGGCCGTGTGCAGCACGTGGCGGTTCTGCCGGCAGGGTCCACTCGGCTCGCGACGGACGCTGCCGGACCCCAGTCACTTGTCATGACTCATGGCTCGACTCTCTGCGGTCTTCCGCACCGCATCTTCAAACTGGCCAACTATACATGCAATCGATCTACAACAGCCGTCAAGCCCATCTCCTCGACTTGGACTACAACCGAGGACTACGATGTACCAGCTTAAGCGAGCCATGTGGCTGCACTGGCTGCGTCACGAATCATCCCCGAGCGAGGGACACAGTGGAGAGTGTGAGGTGATGCGAGATCGCGAAAAACATGACCAAACCACTCTGGGGCGTGACCATTCGCGAAGCTGAGGTGGGAGATGGCGTCGCTGATGAATCCGAGCCGCCGCGTGAATCAGGTTGAGCTGACATAATACTCAGAAGAAGCAGAGCACTTAACCGTAAGGGGACCTTCGATACCGCACACACTCCGAGCGCTCCTTTCTCAACAGGCGGACACTCGACATCCTGCACGATAATAAATGATCGGTCTCTCCTCACAGACGTAAGATGTCCTATCTTGGAGTGTTCGTGAATGTAGAATGCGGCGGCGACTCGGAGCAACTGGCGTCGACAGTGAGGCCTTCATTCCCATCAATCTTGCATGATCTGGCCGACAACGAGGTGCATCTGGGACATTCTTCCCTTCTGTCACGCCCCCAAATCGACGGCAACTGTTTCTTCTTGCTCCCTGGCGGATCCGACATCTTCGGCGCACCCCTCTCGCGCCCATGACCGCGCCCTTCCGCCCGCAGCTCCCGATGCGCGGGAAAGCGCTAGTTGTCGCAAATGTACAGATATGGTGTGCGGATAACCAAGACCAGGCCAAGAACAATTACAGAAACAACTCGTCACTGGACAGTTCACGGAGAGCTTGCTTCACGCGAGCTTCCCACAACCGCAGGACTGTACTTGTCGGACATCGACAGAGAGCCCGCACGGACAGGGTAGGCATGACAGCAGCGTCTAGGCCGGCGTATAATGTGGAGCTGGATTGCCAGAACTTTGGTGCCTAAGAGGGCTTTGCAGACGAACGCTAAGCCACAGAACCGCTTGCAAGCATTTCACTCACTATCCAGCTCCGAAGCCATGAGCGACGCCGGCGACTGTGGGCGAATCTTGAGAAGAAACTGCAGTGGAGCTCTGTGCGGCCGCGAAAGGTCAATGTCGATAGTATGGCAGCCGTCGAACCGAAGGACTACGCCGTCACAGCGATGCGCAGATACCAAACCGCATATGACTCATGAGTTACGGTGTTTTCGCGGGCGTGGCAGCGGCCACAAAAGGCAACCACAAGTCGAAAGCGATAATGGCAACGAAGAAGTACAGGAGACCGCGTTAGGACGGCGAGATGGAGACGAAGGGGCTGGCGTCTGTGGAGATGGACCCGCTACCGATCATGAAGATGGCGGTCACCAAGGTGGTAGTCATCGCGAACCCCAGTTTGCCATGGCTGAGACGAACGACAGTCCAGTGGCTTTCGATTGCCCTCCCATGAGGATGGTCGAACGCGAGATGCTCAGTCTGCCCGACCGCGCAGCGGAGACCGGGATCAACAACGCGAAACCCCACTGCTTTTACCCGGACAAGTCGTGGACGAGGAGGGCGACCCTCGCGGCCCTCATCGGTACCACACTTGAGATCAAATATCTTAATAAGAGCCGTTTCTTCAAGGAATTCAGAGTGCAATCGCTCCCGTACTCCAGTGCGTAGGCTTGAGGGCGCTCGGCTAGCTTATCTGTGCCTTTGAGCTCGAAACGAGAGGAGCAGGAGCAAGGCCGGCTTCGCGGTCCTACGAGAGGGAAACGCCGCTGCGAGCTTCGATGTCAGCGCGCCCATGGAGGAAGACGAACCAAAATTCCCGCATGATCCTGAGCTTGTATGAGCAAGCGATAAGCCTCATGATTCAGATAATGCAAAGGTTCCTAACATGCCCCCGGTGGCGAGTGCCTTCGCGCTTCCAACCGAATTTCCGCCTCCGCGAAGGCACAGTGCTAAGTAGTATGCCGTCAACGGTGGTAACGTTATTATCATTGCTGACTGCCCGGGAACGGCCATCAACGAGTCGGCGAGTGGGGAGACACATACGCCATACGTGATGCCACCAGGCACCGGCCACGCTGCTCCCATCAAGGCCTCGAAGGACGAAGTTGCGGTTGTGAACGTCTGTGAGATTGCGAACGTCCACGTCGACCCCGCAAAGATAAATTCCACGTTCCGACAAGTCATGCACCCAAGCCCGTACAAGTGGACGGTAGGCAAGAACATATTCGAGAATGCTCGTACGCTACATTTCTCCGAATCTTACTGCCGACTGCACGCGCGAGAGGACGAGAGTCGAACGTCGTGGGAGAGGCTTGCGGGCGGTTGGCACAGTGCAGGATGGCTCTACGTTGTGGGCTGGGGTACGGCTGCTAAGGACTCCGCGATACGTTTCCCAAGCACCGCCGCCGGAATCTCCAGACTGCACTCAGGTCGGTGCTGGCGCTGTAGTGTTGTTGATTCAATGTGGTTGACAGGATTGCTTTGGAATGACTTGGTGTTCCTGAAAACAGGACGTCGCATCTCCAGAATCCGGTCATATCGCGAAAGGGATCTCTTGGCATCCCGGCTTATCTGATCGGCTCAGTCTAGCCTAAAACCCCATGGGGACCCACGGGGAGTCTACCGCAAACTGCATCCAAGTCCCTTAACATCGGCACATAATATGAACTACACAATACTTCAGTGCATCGCATGTCCCTAACATTTCGCGATCTTCAAACTGTGCATTCGCGACTCATGGTCATGGATTCAACCATTATTACAAATTCGTTCTCAGCTCTCCACCGGCGACCTCGACACCGTGAAAACGCCGGAACATGCGCAAGCCCGTACCCTGGTTTGGAATCCTTGTATCGATTTGACAGCGCCGATCTCTATGCGAGCACTATATACCTTAATCTTGGCGACCATACATTCAACCGCATCCTGATCTCCGCCAGGTTCTTCCGGTTCCGAGAGACATTGTCTATCGATGCTGCTCTTAATCCCTACGCCTGTTATCCTTAACCTGGGTATACGCGCTCTATACATAATAACTGGACGTGAGCATCGAAACTGGAACTGTTCGGGGCTATAGCGTGGAAAGCACCAGGGTTATAAAATGTCCCAAGCGAGAAGCCCGGTCAAAAAGAGGACGCTTATCTTTCTTTAGTTGAGAAAGAGAGGGGTTAGTCCCGAGGTTTGGAGTTTGGAAGGTTATAAAGACGTTCGCGGTCCCTTGCAGGCTTCGATGTCTAACGAGGCAAGGATATTCGTCCCTTCGAGAGCTCCAGCGATCTACATACAGTCAATTACGACCCTCTATTGGAAATTTTGACCTTTCAATATGTAGCGACTATCTGAACGGAGCTACTGCCGCACTCGCGATAAGAACGACGACAAAGATGGTGCTGAGATCGACCCAAGAAAAGAAAGCATCTCAAACCCGTCGCGATTGGTCGACGATTGGCTTGGATCCGATTCCTCCTCTGAACCCTTGTCATATCCTCTTTTTGGCGCCCTGTCGATGGTGTCTTGCATGGCGAACCCCAAGGTACGACATCATTACTATATGAGTATCGCAATCGTAGAATGCAGAGACCGCCTCGCCTCCTGCCCTAGGTTCGCGATTCCTCTGCTTTTGCCGGGTCTGTCTATGGTCATGCACTCTCTACGTGCACTGAGGGGAGACGGAACGAGCCAAAAGAGCCCTCGAAGCCAGATCTTCAAAATCGCGATGGAAGTCTGTAGAAGATTAGTGACGAGGGGAAGTGTATTGCCGCTAATATTGGAGAAGACAGAGACAGCTACATGAGCAAGGTCGCAGCATTTAGCGTCGACACCGCTCGATTAGCAACCAACTTGATCGTAGCATTGAAATTAACGGCCTTCTGAACCAGGTGAAATAGCGCTGGCGACAAGAACACACCGAATTAGGAGCCTCAGAGGAATGCTGAGATTTGTTCGATCCGAATGATCCAATCTGTCTCTGTGACTATTTAGCCAGTTCCAGGCATCTTTACTGCATAGCGGAGTCTGAAGTCGCCGGACAAGCCGTAGTTCTTGAACAGTAAATCAAGAACTTGGAGGGTAACAAAGATATCATTCAGGTCAGGCCGAAGGTTTGTGCAGAGCTTCCACCGAACGATAGCCGGTTCAACCGCCACACAAACACTTTTGAGACGTTCGTAGAGGCCTGCCGTAGGATAGATTGACAGTCTCAAAAGTATGTTGCTCGCCGAAGACCAAGCCTCGCGATAGACAGCACAGTCAAGCCAAAGAGCAGCGGCAGCCGCTGGCAGCGGTCTATAATGACAGTCGCCTGTCTATGGGCACGACTTCCGGCGCTTGAATTTCCGGCAGGCAAATGCTTGAGCTCGATGTGGCATCACTGTCATTAAGGCGGAGGGATACGAAAGTGCGTAAAGCAGTTCTTCGGCCCCGGCTTCTCGACGGGCCACCAAGGCTACAGCAGTGCAACTCGACTCCCTTACTAAGGTTTCTGCTCGGTGGGAAACGGTGACAATATAGGCTCAAGGTACATATGCTTGAAGCTGCTTCGATCTTCGATGCTGTTCTCTTGGGCTTGTTTCCGAAGAATCCATGAATATACACAAGGGCCTCGACGTGCACCAAAGATGGCTGGGCAGACAGATGGATCTTCACAAAAGTCTCCTCATGCATAGCCAAATACAGGATTTCCATTGCGCCACTAGGTATGAGACTGAACCACCCATTTCACCTGGCTTGTCTAATCTGCCTAATACAACTGCTCTCTTCTCGTACCAGCCACTGGTTTCAAGCTCGCGAAAGACCTCCCAATTGCGAACTTCGCAAGAAGCATTCAAGCTCCGCCGAGGACAAAGCAAGCCCAGCTGATCAGACTGGGCTTGTTTCGTCCTTGGCGGAATCCAATGCATTTGGAAGGAAATCTATCTACCCGCAATGTCGATCCTGCCTCAAGACTGTGCACTTCCACCCACCACACTCTCCCCATCCTCTCTTGTGACCCTGTGCAATGACCTCGACCGCATGTCCAATGCTTTGCAAAGAGCAGACCAAAACCAGCTGGCCAGACTGATCTTGTCCCACTGCTTCACAAGCTTTGGCACACATGGCTCGAGACTGCTCGGCGGAACATCTTCGCCCAAATACTCTTCTTTCTGTTCATGATGCGTCTCGACCGACCGTCTCTTGGCTGACGGCGGTGTTTTCAGACCTGGCTTGTTCAGCCTTTTGACATGTTTCCAGGAAGCTCCCAATCAATTGTGTAAGGACTCTGGGTGCATCGCTGCCTTTCTTCGTGGGATGTGCTCGGACGAACATCGCTGGAGGGGCAGAACAAATGCTGTCGAGATAAGTATTTTGAACTCCTCTGACGAATGGTTTTCGTGGTTGACTTGGCGTCATTCGAAGAAAATCAGATACGACAGACCCGCAGGCAACAATAATGCCCTACTACAGCGTCTGCTTTTTGCGTGAGGCATTTGTCTTCCCCAGTGCACGGAAATATCTCGCGAAGAGCTCCCTCAATCGTCTCTCATCCATCGAAGAACCAAGAGGCTCCGGACCCAAGGTTGCGACCCTTGAAGACCCTTTGCGCGGTTGGCATTCTGTGCTGAAAAGAAGATCAGAGGTGCTGCTTAGCGAATCATCGTGCTGGGCTCGGGTCATAAGGTATGTCGAAGAAGACCATTGATGATAGGGATCGATTTCCAGAGGCGAATGAGGACCGGTATGATGTGATCTGGGTATTCTCATTTGAGTATATTGGCACCTCGGACGATAAGTCGATGCTGCTTGCAGCCCAAGGATTGAAAGAAAGGTTGAATCCCACTGCGACCAAGAAGCTGCTGTCAACGACGAGCTGTGTCCCCAGACTTGCCATTCCACGGTGATGGTTGAATTCGAGAATAATGAGTGTCCTTGAGATCAATGATTGGGAATTGCAGACCAGGATTGAGATGCGCCGGCCGAATGTTTGGGGTTTCTCTTGGACTTGTAAGATCTTTTGTGGCGAGAAGGTTGCTGTGTTGCTGTTCTTGGGGCTCGTACTGCTCTGCCGTCCCAAGTGGCATCTTTGTATTGGGTAGGTTGACATTGAACCTCCGGAGTAGGCAGTGTATGCAATTGTCATCCGACCGAGATGTGGTGGAGAGCTGGTTTGGACTTTGTTGTTGTGTACCGATGCTATACTGATAGAATGAGATGGAGCTCGGCAACAGGCTGTCTGAGTAACATCTTTTGAGAGGCAGTGAGTTTGGTTGACCCTTGGTCTCAAAACTTTGGGATTGGAGCTTGTTAGCTAATAACGGCAAGGGTATGGAGGATGGGCTGAGGACGAGGCGGAAACCGAGAGCGGGCCCTCCAGCTCCATTTGTCTACCTTTATGTCTACCTACCTCACTCGGAATAAGCTAACGTGGTCTCAATCTATTATGTCCTATCCCAAATCCGATCCGGAACGGAGGAGACTTTGCTGCACGCCAACCGCTGAGGATGGTGTGCGAATCTGCACGACCGTCTCTCATCGTGGGGGTCTGGCAAGACGGTGTCTATCAAGATGACGGTGCTGAACAGCATTCTCTGTGGATAACAGGTGGTCGCTTGGTCTTGGCGCATCGGCCATCTGCGCTTGACGCACGGTCTCGGTATTCACATGCAGCTCGAGCAAATCGCAATCGTACTCGC